AAAGTAGTCATTTCATCCTGTTTTCATATTAACTGGAGATAAAATTGTAAATTAAATTAAATTACAGCCCTACTGTAAGCACAAACTACATCAAAACCTTTGATTAAAAAGACAATTAGAGTACTTTATCACACCACCTGCTCAAGAAGCATTAAACATGTTTTTAATGCTTCTTAAAGCTGTTTTTTTTTAAATGAAGACACTTCAATCAGCTGCATATCTTTAAACTCAGCTACAGGCTGAGACAGCAGCAATGTCCTCTCTGCCCTCTAGATCACAACTGTAACAGATCGTAAAATGATCTTTCAGACAGATCATCCAACCAACAGGGAAACACATTAACAATGTAATGTGTGCAGGACTACAGAAACAGTGTGGTAGCCATCTGATCGATGGGCCTAGTATAGTTCTGTACTAGTCACACATCTGTCTGAAAAACTATTAAGAGTGCAATTTAAAATAAATAAAAACATCCACTTATGGCTACCTTATACAAAATAAATCTTTGTCCAGTTGCATTGTGCCCAAAACATTTAAAAGCGACAAACGGCGATACTTATGCTACAGTTACTCATAACAAATCGAGACATATGGATCGACACAGTTAACCACCTGAAACACTAACTAACTACACCATTTTGTCAGGCAGGGCCAACAAAGAGAAGGCATCAGAGGAGCAAATGGCACACCTTTCAAACCAGAGCCTCACTCATCATATAGAGACATTTAGGGGCCAAAATACACTTAGAAATGCCTGGTTGCTCATTTCTATTGGTTTTTGCATTCAAAGTGTGATGACAAATAGTTCTCACCCAAACTGTCTTGAGGGCAGCAGGTTGTTCTGCCACTTCTCCAGGTCCTTGAGTTGGAGATCAAAACGTGGACTAATCACGCCACACTGACAAGAGAGAAAGAGTGGTTTAGACTCCATTCACAAACCATTAAAGCTACAAGCAAGGCTAGACAATGATAAGAGTTAAACCAAGTTTAACATATCGAAATGAAAACAATGGCCACTGACGTATTGGTACATAACTGTAAAGACTGTATAGAAACAGCTTCTCTGTCGCCATTATCACTAGAAGCCCTTTAAGACCCAAGTTAACTTAAACGGCACTAACATAAAATTATATTTCCTTCAGTCATTCATAGCAAAAGAAACAAAGCATGTGTTTAAAACTATCAAAGAAGTGACATGAATAACAGCGCAGGTTGGTTATATTTACCTTGTTCAGCCTGCCTGTGAGATTGACAACAATTTTTCCGGCTCTGTGGTCATCAATGATCTCAAACTCACCAATATAACCTGCAAAGCACAAATGACAAAGACCATTAAGTTAAACACGTTATTAATGCGCATAATTATTATATACATTAAGTTAAACACATCAGGGCGCTTCTAGAGGTCTCAAATTAAACTGAAGTTATACTTTTACCAACTGTACACACAAACAAAGCAGTCAGCCCTTCAAGCTGCTTTACAACTGCATGTGGTGCATAAAGTATCAACTTGGAACGCACACACCTTTAACATAACGACACTCACCGTGCTTCATCATGACGGTTAGGAAGCGCACAATAACCTTGGAGCAGGGCCTGATGAGGACCTGACGTTTCCCACGCTTCTCAGCATTGTTGATGCTTTTGAGAGCATCTGCGAGAACGTTCATGCGCACCATGATGCCTGTGGACACACACACAAAAAAGACTTTTAGCATTAGATCCAAAGGCCTGGACAAGAAGGAAATTAGTGAGTATCATCACCATCGACGCTCTACAGACTACACTAGAACACTGATGGTGAAACGTTACAAAAAAAAAACTCTGAATTTGACAAAAATGCTCACTACACTACAAAGGAGGTCTTAAGTAAAAGAAAGCCTAGTTAGCAAAACCTTGCTAACACGAATCATGCCGACCCTTTTCCTTCCGTCTACAATTATGAGCCTGGCGGCTAATATGTTCCAGAGATGGCAGGTTAAATACTGCTCACACTTTACTCTTGACAAGTAATACTGTGGCTTCAGTTACACTAAGAGAGGAAAAACGGAGCTTTCCACTGAAGCATGGTCATTCATGAGCACTCAGATTAGCTACTTAGCTTATCCACCTGCAAACGCCACAGTAAGTAGTGCCCTTAGTTCTGCAGTTACAACGGTCAAAATATTATCGACAATATGTACCACATACAGACCTGTACGGACAGCTAAAATGTCTTATTCGTTGGACATTTGAAACTCGCATAACTGGGAGCAAAGCTAACAGCTATCAAGCCATCAAGTCGCCCTGAACGCACCAATTCCCGGGGCCAGGCAGTCCCGCTAACACAGGACAAAAATTATGAATCCGCTTCACTAATGGAAACCATAATCAGCCCAAATCATTACTACCAACTTTGACTTCGAAATGGACTCACTTATGGATTATTTCACAATATGATGCTTTAGATACTTAAAAGATTGAAGGTGACGATGTAAAAACACATCTTACCGGTTCTGCAATATGGCGGAAAGAGGAAGTACGAAAATCTTGCAGTGCATTATGGGAAAAAAGGTCGAGACTTTTTCAAGCCGAGATGGCCCACAGCGCCAAAGCCCAAACTCCCCCAACAATGCCCACGTACCGAAAAATTCATGTTTATTTTGTCCCTGAAAACTGCCAGCGTTTTATAAGAAGTCTGACATTTATAAGTAACTAATATTTTATTTTGTTTGGCAGGTTTAGAAAAATCGTCTTATTTTTTGATAGTTGTGGGCTTAAGTGGGCCACTTTCTTCGACCTCAAACGAAGATGAAATTCAGAAAAATAAATAACTTTGCTGTCAAGTGTCCCTAAGCGCTTTGTATAAATGTGAAATTTAAAGCAGTGTCCCCAAGTGACGATGAGTGTCCTGCATTAATATTCAGGAGCTTAACTATGAGTGCTTTTAAAAGTGAAAATATATGAATATGAAAATATACATGAGTATGTACACAATATTATTATTATTTCCAGTCCTAAACCTGGCTAAGGGCATCCAGCATATAATAAAACATGCAGATCCATCTGATCTGGCCACCCCTTAGGAAATACGAGAGAAGCCAAAATTATATTTTGTTTGTTTGTTTGTTTGTTTGTTTTGCCCAGGGAATATATTCAAGTTCAGAATAGATATTGTAAATTGAAGACTTGGAAAGGCAATTAACTCTCAATGTCATGTCTCAGTGAATATGTCTGGTCATGGTTGTACGTTGACAAAAACAACGCCATTTCCTGTTCTTGTGTTTACTTAGTAAGATTTGTTGACGCCGTTGCAAATAAAATTTCCAATTTCAAGGAACACTTTTTTTGGTCATTAGGCAAATAAGACTCTGATTTTTGTTTTTTAAATATTCTCAGGAATGAGGACTCAGAGATTATCTTAGCCTGGAATTTGAAGGACAGTACAGCCAGTGTGCTACCTTGGTGGTGAGTAAAGAAAAAAGGGGCATATATTCATGTTAAAAGGGAGTTTTTTCTTCCCACTTTTGTCAAAGCACTTGCTCACAGAGGGTCATCTGATTGTTGGTGGTTTCTCTGTATTATTGTAGGTTTTTTTTACCTTACAATAAATCCTTACAATTTAAAGCTATACAAATAAAACTCAACTGAATTGAATTGAACTGAACTGAATTAAACACCATCATTTATGTCATTATTTCATATTGTTTCTGCTGTTCTCACATTTGCTAACAGTCTCTATGGACTTGGTGCTCCTCATAGAAGGAAACTGTAAAATATACTTTCAACAATTATTGAATCTTCTCAATGTGTATTCTGACTCAGACTCTGTGAAGAGTATAATAAAACAGATTGCAAAGTGCAAACTCTCAGATCCACATCATATTTTTTATTCCACATTTTGACACGTGCAACACCCTTATTGCAGTACCTAAAGGAAATTAAAACATACAGATACAGCATTGTCTATAAATGCAAAAACAGCACAACATTATGAAAAATCATGCTTTAACAACAATGAAGGACTGCAATATTAAGCCCTATGAAATACTAGTTGCATTATGTCTGTGTATGTCACTAAACATAGATTGTCACAACTGTGCAGTGAGTAACTGCAGCGTTTTTTGTTTTATTACATTAATAAGTTCACATGTCAAAACTGTGTTTTTTTCCTTGAATAAACTCACAAATTATTGTGGTAGGTCACTGATCACCTTTGTCTGCCCTACACAGAAATATTACAATAACTAATCACATTTCTATTTTGCATGCATAGAAAGTATGTATAGATACTATGTAATATATGTATATATATAAATATATGTATGTCAGCATAGCATCAGAATCTACACACTCAAACTAAGTCACCAAAATCGGTAGTGTCTTTGGAACTAAGTGCACCAAAAATTACTGAGTAAAAGTAAGTGAAACTTTTTGATATGTTTTCCCCAAAAAAGTTGAACATTTAGCTCATTTGTGTATTATTATGTAGTAATCTGATTACTAGAAATTTGACAGATTCTGTATTTTTCAATAATGCATGGTGGAAATCAGTGAATAACTAAAACAGACTGTAGATAAAGAGTATATAGCAAGTTTAACTGCTAAAAGCTGCATGAACACAAAAGCATTTCTATCTTGTTTGAGCAAAATGTTTGTGTCTCCGTCAGCTTTCAGGTACTTTCTATTCATTACAACTCTACTACCATGCTCTGATGTTACATGTTCCTGTGGAGTGATCAGGCTGAAAGTGTGTTGTAGGAGGTTATGCACAGCCATCTGCTAAACACTAAGCTTGTTGATCAGTACAGCTGCAACACCTCTTTCCACTGGTGTCCAGTAGAGGGCCCACTAAACCATTCAAACCCAGATGCGGTGACATACCCTCCAGCCAAGTCTCAAAGTGAACAGTCATGTGGAGCATAATGGAATGCTGAGTAGCACAAGACATAGTAACCAGATTTCTACAGCATTTCTATGGTTACGTTAAATTTTCAACACATTTGTTTTCATCTATTAAGCCTCTGGCTAACCTTTCGTGTACCCTAAATTTTCACACTTAGCCACCATTCCTGACCATGCTGACAAGAGAATCTGCATCTCCCTGGGGATCCAGGCCCAGCCTCTGGAGGTCCAGACCCATGGCTACCAGCATCTGGAGCAAGGTAAGCTCCTGCTGGGTGGTCTTATCCACCAAAGCTGGGCAGGTGGGGTTACACTGTGGCCACTGACAGGAATCCACGAGGTGAAAAGGACATCCTTTAGCCGGGGTCCTGTTGTTACGTATTGCTTCCAGACTCCTGTCCCAGCATTGAAGGGCACGTGGCAGAGACGTGCCTCTAACTTGAAAACTTGTCCAGTTACTTTAGGAACAACAAGAAGGAGGAGTTATGAATTAGAAAGAAAGAAAGAAAAATGGGAAGGTTGTCAGAGTTAGTAATTAAGGACCAGAAAAGGGCAAATGGCAGGAGACTGTTTTACTTTAAGGTTTGCAACTGCAAGTGTTGCAGCATACAAAGCTACAAAAGACCTTGAACTTTCAGCTCCTGACTTTGATTGCACCCACTTCAGCTTAACTAAGTATACTTATATAAGACTGCAATGACCCATCAATGTCCATGTGAACAACTAAATAATCTCTATGTTAAAGTGGTCCTGGGAGGCTAGAGAAAGTGTGAAGTGGCATTTGGTGACAATGTGGTTTGATGAACAAGCAAAACAAAAACAGCAGCATGAGCTCACTGGGTAGATATGACTGCTGGGGAGAAAAAACAAGGGTGCCAGGTGAACTTGAATATCCATTCTTACCTTTTGGTAATTAGTGTGTGGGAGAGACAGGACGGAGCAAATACAGCCCTAAAAGACACGCAAAGAGAGAGCATTTGTTAAAATCCATCTTGATTTATTTTTCAACTAGCTATAGTAAGATTTGAATCTAGTCACTGCGTGATGACGACTTTTGACAGGAATGCATAGACGGCACAGAGAACGTCAAGGAACTGTTGGATGTTAACATAGAATTTGATTGTCTGCTGTTTTAAATGGCTGGCAGTTCACTCAACAGCTACAGGCTTTGACATGTAAATGTACAAATGGAAAGTGGATAGTAGCTCACCACCACTGCTCTGCAAGCTCTATTACATTTTGTTAAAGTCACCAATTCTATTTTAAAATATTTTTTTATAATTATAAATTGTAGATTGAATTGATTTCCTGATCTATTAAAACGAATGATTGTATTTGCCACTATCAATGGTCAAGAATATTAAAAGAAAACACTAAAAAGCAGTTCCGTGTTGTCGAAAGGGCTTAATTTCAATTTCAGGAAATGGCTGGAAATCAATGAGTGCTAAACATACAGTTTTTATGTTCTGTTAATGTTAGTAATGTTTAGACGTCAATATATGATAAGTTCTACGGAACTTACGTAACATCTCTCAGGGAGTTTTTGAGCTCCAAGCCCAGGTTCTGTATGTACTGCCACTGCTCCTCAGACATGCTCTGTCCCCCTATATAGATGTTTTCCACCCTCAGCTGTTCCTCATCAAACAGCCACTGTACAATAAACACAGGGGCTGTAGGGAAAATAACATTTAGTTGATCAAATCAGTAAATTCCATCAAGTCTATTAGTCACTTCCTGCCAGTTATTAAGCTGTATACACACACACACACACACACACACACACACACACACACACACACACACACACACACACACACACACAGATATATACACTCCCCTGGATGAGTAGGGGTCAAACAAAGTCAGGAACTACCTGAAGAGCTACGTAGGGTCTTTTGGATTTATGTTCACCGCCATGTTCGTGATCTTTTTTTTTTCTGTGTGTACAATTTCATAAGATCTGCAGGTTTTTGTGCTGGCCTCAGTTGGTGATTAAATTTGTTATTTAGACCAGTCTCTAAAAAGTTTTTATATTCAACAGCCAAAATGAAAAAATCCACCAGTTAAACATACTGTTACTAGCCACACTGGCCCCCTTTTCAATGATTACAGTGAATACAACTCAGGATGTCATGATCTAAAAGTTTACGCACCAGCGTAGCAGTTAGAGTTTCAAGATTTACAAAGAAAATCTCTTTTCTTTAATTTCAGACCCTGATTTGGAGATTTTGACTAAACATGTGCTTTTATATGCTTTGCTGATTTAGCAACTTTAAAATTCCATATATGTGACAATAAAGATCTTAAAAGTTTGCATCGAGGGCTGTAATATTCAGAAGGCCTCTAAAAAAATGATGCAGTCAAGATGAACTTACATTGGCTTATCATGTCATCAGCGTGGGAATCAGTCTGTTCACTGATTGAGTGAAGGAAATTCACAGTTCTAATATGTCAGTGCTCATTATTTCTGAACTGCTCAAGTCATGTCATATGGTGTGCATTTAAATTTAAAACATCATCATAAACAAAGACACCAGTCAACACTCACACGTCAAAGTAGAGTATAGTCTATGACCGAAGAAGCACTTCCACTCCTCCCCTCTTTTAAAGAGCTGCCGACATCTGTCAGGAACAACCCCATTCCACAGCCTGAGATAATAATGCACAGTTAATCAATAAAATTCACGAATAATATGATTTCCAAATCCTACATCGGGCATAGGAAGAGATCTAAATATTGTCTTCACCTGAGTCCAATCTTGATAGCATCCTCAGGTGAGCAGGAAACTGTCTCAGGGCAGTTTGGTGATCTTTGCTGCTTGCTCTCCAGAAACCAGCCTGAGTCCACGAGGCCTCGGACCTGAGCTTCTGCACCAAGCTGCTGGAGCTGACTGGCCACCCTCTCAATGTTGAGCAAAACACCTGTTCCACCAGCGCTGCAGGGGAGCCAAGAAAATGAATAAATAGTTTGGCTTTGAGGGTGACATTTTTGTTTAGGATATCAAACTGACAGTGCATGCCAGCTCATAGCGGGGAAGTAAACATTTAGCAGGTTTCACATTCAGTTGATCCTGTTTTAGGGCCCGGGGACGTCTCAAGAACCATGCTGCTAACCTGGGAGGAATGTTCACCATTACAGGGCAAGGCCCTTTAATAATCATTATGTCACTGATCACAGTTGACTGTAAACATCTTCATTGTTAACAAGAGGATGCACCCAAAATAGGACTTTAATGGTAGATATGGAGACGGTCCAGATGGTACAGAGACTCTTGTCCATCAGAGCACAATAAAACAAACTCACCTGCTACCAGACAGCATGACAACCTTGGCCTGCTTGATTCCTTTAGGGATGAGATCTTTGATGACCTCACGGATGATTAGGGATCCCATGAAGTTATATTCAGCTGATAGTAAAGACAAGTATGACAAGATTTTTATTCTCTAATTAACTGAACATTTAGAGAATACATGTTTTCTTGTATCCAAAGGAGCTACAGTTACCTTATTGTAAAAGATTTGAGGAAACTTACTTGCATTTGTATTCCTATCTCTGACTTTGTCCCTGCCTTGTCGTGGCCTGGAAGGGGGTGTTGGTGCAGGCCCAGTGCCGCTCCACACATCACTGGAACAGTAAGGGATGAATCTGCCATAAAGAAGACAATCACATTTGTTAGACTAAAGCTGGAGGCCCTGAAGTTGGTTTCTTCCCTCCCCCATAAAAATCACCTCAGGCTGGAGCTGACAACTTCTGTCATATATCAGAAAGTGGCAAATCTCTATTTTGATCACACAGCCTGCATGTTGCTGAATTTCAGAAACGAAACTTTATCATTAAAGATTAAAATTGCTTGCATGGATGAAAGCGGAAAGTTAAAAATATCACCCAAAACACTACACGCATATGCCAGTTCACCACGCAGCATATATCCTGCTGTGCCACCAGACTTTTCAGACGTTTCTTTCCTCAGGCTGTGCGATCACTAAAGTCATCCTCGACATTTCAACATAAAAAACAATCTTCAAAAGAAAGAAAGAAAGGGAAAAGAAAACAAAATAAATTATTTATTCGTCATTAATCGGTGATACAGTTTTGTTGTTGTGCTGCATAATTAAGTAATCTTGTCTGACATAAAAAGGGTCACTGAAAGTGTTGCACGCACAAGGAATTGTGTTTTCAATCCTTTTTAGGTCAAGCATATTACCAGCTGCATTAAGAAGATATGTTTGCTGAATCCCTTTTTGTTGTTGTTGTTTTTCGATAAAATCATTTTAGGAACTGTAACATTAGACACTTTATCCAACGTTTCACACACAAAAAAATCACCTAAAACAGCTTCAGGAAGCGACCTTACAACTAAAAACAAGTTTTATTTATAGCATTTTTCAGATTAGTGCACAGAAAAAAATGCACATTTATGTGTTAATTTAAGTTAATTTAATTTAATATAGCTGTTTTCAGTTTTGGCCTGGATGTTTACAGATATTTGTGAATATTTTTCCTCAATGTAAGTAATGGTAAATGGCCTGTATTTGTATAGCACTTTACTAGTCCCTAAGGACCCCAAAGCGCTTTACACAACCAGTCATCCACCCATTCACACACTGGTGATGGCAGCTACAGTGTAGCCACAGCTGCCCTGGGGCGCACTGACAGAGGCGAGGCTACCGGACACTGATGCCACCGGGCCCTCTTACCACCACCAGAAAGTACACATACTCAGTAGCACTTACACGCAGAAAACCTTAGTTTTAGTCCAATTTTTTTAATTTTCGAAGGTTTTTACAAAGACATTCTTCATAAATGTTACCAATTATATCTTGATTTACTGAATATTCTTCCCTAAAAATTATTTTTCTGTCAAGAGGTTTTCAATATATATAAAGTGACAGAAGATCTTGATGTAAAAACATTTCATTCTGATGTACAAACATGTGTTTATGAAGTGTCTATTTAGTAAGATAACACTTCATTTACATATTCAAACATCAAAGTTCAGAAAATTTATAATACAAAAAAATAACAGTCTTCATATTTGTAAGTTGAATGTTTAATCCTACTCCCCTGCAGTGTCTCCCATTATGTACACAAATTAATTAATACAACAACTATGGGAACAAAGAAAAAGTTGTCTTTATACACCTTCATTAACCGCAAAAATACAAAGCACATCTATGCAGGTACTTACACAATATTTGTGTTATGCCAGTGTGGGTTGTCCTCAGCTTTAGAAGATAATATTCCACTTCCTGTAAATCCAACAATCGCTCATTAAACAGATGTCCACTTGCCTCACTAGTCAAAGAAAGCAACTCTGTGGAAACGTCTATGAAAGGCATTCTGAAACACTGTCGGCTGACTAACCTCTTTTAGTTTCAGGCCACCCCGATGAGCTCATTAGTCGGGGGATATTTTGGTACCTGTAATCACAGGTCTCTCTGCTGTAGCAGCACCAGCCACCTAAATATAATAGACACTAATATTAGACATTCACATCCAAGATAGGGACACCCTTGTTAGCCCATCACACAGGCCTGTGAGGAATGGTGAAAGCAATGGTTGCACCTGCAGGCTGCTACGCTAACATGACCATAGTATGCATTAACTGTATTATTATGGGGTCTTTACCTTACAATATAAAGCAGCTTGAGACAATTGTTGTTGTGATTTGGTGTTATATAAATAAAATTGAAAAAAGATAATAATAACAATAATAATTCACAGTTGAGCAAAAGACTAGAATGATCTCTTTAATTTACAAACTGTCAGCATGCAGATTGCTCATTTTTGCTGATTTGTCACTCAGTAACATGCAGGAAAATTATTTATGTTCGATATTAGAGTACAAGTAAATTTGGAAGACACTCCACCGGTGTTAACCTCAATTCAAGTCTGTGACACGCAGCAACCAAAAAAGTTGACAGGACAAGATGACATCCACATTAAGATTCCAATGAGCGGGTGTCACGCTAAAACAAACTGACCTTAGGGGACTAAATTAACCATATGGGGTTTTAAATACTCACCTTCCAGAAATAACAACCATCGGCGGCTTCCTCTGAATTCCTTTAGGTAAAACCTGTAGAACAAATGAATGAGCATGAGGAGAAACAGAAGATAAACCATCTTTGTAAAATCACTGACTCAATCAGGAAACAGACATTAAAGAGCAAAAACAACCAGAACTTCTCACCCAGCTACTGTCCCATCATTACATGTAACTTGTGTGTTTGTGAGGTAGTGCAGCCTCATATCATCTGTCTGTTGTCCAGCTCCACGAGTCCCTGCAGCTCCTTCCTGTCTTGATTCGGCTGAGCCTCCGGTGTTTCTGGAGGTGCTTCCAGTTCTTCCAGTGCTTCCTGAAGTAACATCAGCTGCGGAGGCAGACTGGCCAGCATCACCTTGTTGGATCCCACTAGACTTCTTTGTGGACTTTCCAGTAGCTTTAGCATTACGGTTGTTCTGACACCACAGTCCCCCAAGCAAGAGCAAGAAAACAAATGGACCCAGTATCTTCATATCTGAGGCAACATAAAAAATTAGGGACATGCTGATTAATTCATGCAAAACATGAGAAATCTTCAAAAACTTTCCAACTTGCAAATACTTTACCTTTCAAAGAAGAATCAGTTTTGAAGATTGCTGCAATGAACCCCTCACCCCAAGGGTCAGGCAGATAACTGGTTCTGCTGGAGAGAGAGACTGGTGAGACATTCAGTGCACTGTGACAAGGTGCGAGAGGAGGGTCCTAGTCATGAGTAAGTGATGAAGTCTTGACCAGGTTTTGATGAAGGCTGCAAATCAGCGACGACCTTTATAGTGCCACCATATGGATCAGATTTCCTCCCATTTTCTCTTGCAGCTCCTCTCAGGCCCTGAGATCATCTGGTGACGACACACCGCAAGGGGAGGTACTGGATGGTTAGTGGTGAGGAGAAAAGATAACACACGCATCTCTTCAACATATTTCAATTCCTTGCACACACCCACCTTCAAGCACTTTCCCAGCTGACCGTACCTCATGCACAAGTTCTTTTTACCCCTAACCTCCTTCTTCTCCCCCCTCCATCCGCTGCTGATTGCCATTTTTTTTTCTTATTTAAACATCTACATGGTCAGCATGACCGCACAGTCGCTTTGCATGGAATGTGACCCAGAGGTCATTCGAGCGCCCACCTCAAACATTTTCTGACATGGGAATCAGTCGTACCGTAAGGTTCCCGCAACAGTCTCAAAGCACAGGTGGAGGAGACTCTTCTTGGTTGTAGCACCATACGCATTATGCATTGCCTCATTCTTTTAAGTACGCTCAGTTTTACAAGAATAACAGATATCTAACAATTTTTTTACTGGGGTAAAGTCATTACATAACTAATATAAAGTATAGGAGCGTGGTTTAGTCCTTTTCAAAACCACATTAACAGAAAAACATATTATAATTAAAGAATAATAGCTTCTGTGCCTTTACTTCATTTAATAAAATCATTAGTGTTATTAAAGAACTTAAGATAAAAGGTCAGGCCTTTGCAGCACACAAATTATTCTTTGTAAAAAAATTGGTGGTGGTGGTGGTGGTGGTGGGGGGGAATTAAGGCCTTCTACTTATCAAAATCCCCATTAAGATAATTCTTTGGAGCTTATTATGTCATTAGACAATCTGACTATTTAAGCATATTATTTTTATTAACTCAAATGCAGAAAGATTTGTAAATTCCTCGCACAATTTTCAGTTCAGTTTAATTTTCAAGCACTTTATGCAGATGATACCACTTAACACTTAACAGCTCCACTGTAAGACTTAATTTTAACTATCCTACCATATTTCTGTGATCTACAGACGCTGATTACAATTAAAGGAGGACTGCTGAAGCAGTTTTATATACTCTAACCTCCTTTTGGTTCTTGTCTTGGGCTAATCACTCAAGCTAAAAAAGTTCAGCGATTTCTATCCTGCAGAATTAAAGGTTTTGTGCACTGATGGTAACTTTACCCACAGCTTTGCAGACTTCTGTTTGTCAGGTTAAGTTAGTTTGCCTTTGGTGATGAAAGCGACAGAGTATTTGAAACTGATCTGTAGCTGTCGCCCCTGGGATGGCTGCAAGGTGACGTACCACCGATCACTAAGGATCACGAGCCCCAGAGCTCTAAAATTCTCATCAATGAAATGCACACCATCCCAGAGTGTCAATCAAAGCAAATAATGATCGCTTGGAAGGCCAGTGGCTACACAAGGCAACACAGGGCTGTATAGGGTAGTCTGGGCTGAAAAGACTGCAGGGTGCACATTTCAGAATGATAAAGCAAAGAAGAGAAAAATAAATACATTATGCCAAAGGCAAATTGACATCTCTATTGGAAAACTGTACAAAGAGAAAACAGCACACTTACAATCAATGTAAAAATAGCAACTAGATGCTTTTGGAATGATTTAAATCTTAAAGGTTCATCCTGTATATAAACATTTCTATCAGGATACAGCCACATGTCTGAATGCATTCTGGATGTACATATGATACAATGATATAATATGTTGTCTGCAATAATCACCCAACCATTTAAAGACTTACAAACAAAGCAGACAGTTTTTCTTGGGTTTGTCTTATTGCTTTGGCATGAAAAATGGTATTTTGTCTCATTTTCAAGCACCTCGTTCTATTTTATCTACTTTCAACTATGGCCAGAAACAAAACAAAGCTACTCAAAAATATGTCTGAGATCGTATGTGCCTACACGCAATAAAAATGTAGCCTAAGGCCTATACCGAATTTGATCTACCGAGCTGAACAATTCTTCATTCCTTCAGTTGTCTTGAAGCATGCACACCACCATCTGTCTTCCCAGAAATCAATGCAACAATCTGTTTAACAGATACCTCAAATAGCTAAAAAACGAAAGAAGTTGCTGTAAATCTATCACCATTTCGCGAGAATGTCACGAACAGAGAGATGGCATTGCTGCTATTTTGTTATTCTTTCATACGGGATTGGACAGAGTGATACGTTTTTTAGTACAGGCCTCAGATCAGCGGATCAAAATGAGTTTGTGCTCTAGATCTTGACTGATTCAACTCCCAGAGCATTTCAGTCTTGTCCCTTTGTAGCTTCTGCAGCAGACACTACCAGACCACCACAATCACACACTATGAGTGAGACCAGACATGCTTCTGGAGCCTATCATATGTGTATTTTTCCTTTGATAGACAAACATTGTAGATAACACATAAGGGGCTTGTGTGACATGTTGAACTTCACCCTGACCGGGACAACAACTTGACCCCTTGTGCAGCATAGAAGGCATTCTTTTTCCCCTTGTGTTGTTATGTTTCACAGCGAGCCTCCAAGGTCAGGATACCTCAGGCTTCGGGTGGTCCGGGCACTTTGTCTGCTGTGCATGTGTGTCATCACCAACCACAAGAGCTGAGGGCTCAGCCATGAGCGAGAATATTTGACGGCTGATAACTTCAAAGAACAACGATCCAGGGACGGCTGTCGTGATCTAAATTCCATTGCTTACACTAAAGCACAGAAAGGTTGCGACCCACGCGTAACTAGTATAAAATCCAGCCCTCCAACTTTTACAGTAAACCTTTTTCTTTAGAATAATTAAAACTCTCATGGGCTGCATCAATACACCAGCAAAACTTTAAATAAGTTTATGATCCAAACCTAATCGTAGCTTGAAGCCTCCTTTTCACATTGCATGTAATCTGAAAATCTGCAAGAGCATCACTTGTTGTCACCAGCAGTGGAGGGCATAGCTGGACATCGAGGGCCATGATTAATAGGTGATAAGAGAGGCATCTTTACAAGCGACATGAAAACGAGCCTCAGGCAAGAGATATGAGACTTGGCCAGAGCACTACTGCCAGAGCTCTCCATTCAATCAGTGAGGATGACAGAAAGAGCCTTAGCGGGATCGGTGTAAAGCGCTGAGCCACTGCAGGAGGCTAGCAGGTGGGGTGGGAAAAACTATTCCTTAAACCAGGTGTTAAGAGGCCTTGCATGGTAACCTTCTGCAAGCTGCTTATGCATCACAGTAAATTGAGGAGGGTAAGCAGCAGCAATACAAGTTGTTGAATTCTGGGGGATGGGGGTGTAATGTAACATACAGAAAAGGATAGATGACTAATGAATAAGTCTTGTTTGCTTTGACACACTGCAGCTCATTCTGCTGATCCCTTCACAGCCAACTATGTTCTGTGTGCACTTTATTCCGATTTCAGACACAACTTCATCCAAGTAAGTTCCTTGAATTCCACAAGGAAAATTTTGATGTACAAAGGGCAAACGGAGATCAGAACACTAAAAGCTTCACATCATGAAAGCATATTGCAGATTTGTATTACTGAAGTTCATACTGATGTTGCACAGCTTGCACACGTTCTGTTTTTCCCTGAACAATTTAAATCAGTGGAGGTACAATTATTATTTTTATGGACTTTTACACTTTCTAAATATTCTTTTAGATTTGCATTAATTGCTGAAGATGTTTTAAATATCATATACAAAGTAAATACTAAAATAAAGCGACGTGCTGGTAAGTTCATACTCAAGCAGCAGTTCCAGGGCTGAAAAATGAAGTCAATATAGACATTACAAAAAGAATACAGTTAACAGTTCCTAGAATGACCACTTAAAGTTAGCTGCAAGAGCAACCCGTCCCCACCACCCCCACGTAAAATTCAAAAACTGTATAGGAAAGTCCAATGTAGACTCTACATCTAAAAGGTGAACCCAAAAGTTTAACCTGTTCTTTCTAATAGCCGGCAAAAGCAGACCCTTCTGGTTCAATTCAGACTGTGGCTGTGAGAAAATGATCATTTTGTAATTATGATTTCTGATGTTAGTCAGAAAGGACAATAAAGAAGGTCATGCTTTATGGTGTGTCTTTTGTAAGGTAGCGATTAACCAGACCTTATGCATTCACACTTTTGTTCAACACATTCAGCTTCACTAACACCAAGACGGCGAGAGCCAAAAGTGGATCTACCGGTGGTGGAGTGATTAGCACGTTGACTGACAGAAAGAAGGTTCTGGGTTTGAACTCTTACCTCGACCTTTCTTTAAGCCTTTCAGTGCAAATATATGTATGCATGTTAATTGGTGATTGTCTGTTCTTGGCAATAGATTGCAAAATTGCTGTATGAATGTACACTTTATATATAACTTGTAATCTACAGCCCTTTGAATGGTCAGTAAGGCTGATAAAGCATCATAGAAATGTGAGTATCCATGACATATAGATACAGTCTATAGTTACATAGACATATTTACAGACTTTTTTAAGCCATGTTCTCCTTTTATAAAAGCAGGTTTTATAACTCCTGGACTTGAAAACTATAAAGGCAAAAATTGTGCATTATCAGGGTTGTAGCCTCTCTGAGTGACAGGTGTTTGCAGGTTAAATCTGATTAGCCTGGTTGTCTGTTACCACCACAGCTGATTTGAAACAGGTTTGGTTTGGTGACTTTTGGCAGATTTTTAATGCAAATACTTTGGTTTTAGCACTAATTATCAGCTGTGAATGCACCTATCTAAATAAGATAGCTAGCATTAGCTGTTCACTTAGCACTGCTCTCTCATCCAAATATGGTCACCTCTGGTGACAAGGAAGACATGATGAAAAGGCTCTAATGCAAATTTCAATTATTGAAAATGGACATTCACAAATAAGTGGCTGAAGTCACAGTGGCTTCGCCCATTTACATTTATATACAATTATTTATAGCTTTAATTACTGACTTTACACTATGCAGTTCAATGGCTTTGCTCGTGTCTTACCTAAGTGGGGCACTGGTTCTGATAGAAGGATGGTTGTGTTGGTGCGGGACAGGGAGGGTGTCAAGCTGCGCTAGAGTCAATAGCTTTAAGCATCTTTGGAGCTCATGACATAGTGGAGCAGCAGCGTGGCCTTGGAGTCATGCTGGATGAGCCACCATGCCTGTCAGTATATTGATTGATACCAGTGGAGGGGTCACGCCATGCTCAACTCCGCACTCAACAATAAGTCCTTCACACAAGTCCTACAACTTCATCAACAAACTATCACACAACCCCACGTGTAGGTCCCATGGGACCTAGATGTCCATTTTGATGTCCATTTTCCATTGATTCAAATACATTTCAGCTAAATAAAATAGTTCTTATTAAAAAAAAATCATATATTTTATACCACAATGAAAAGGGATCATTCGGTGCATCCCTAATTAAAATTCCAAAAGAATTCATCTACTATAGTTTAGGATTCTCTGTGGATGCTAAAGAGAAAAGGAGACATGTAAAAAGGGTTTAAAGGTATGTGCCCCAGAAATCAGTTTTCCAGCTGAGGATTTTGGTTTTATTTGCAAAGATCATGATGAAGCAGTTAAATCACAAAAACAGCATAGTATTATGTTCATACTGATTCTACAGTCATGCATATATGCACAAAATATTCTGCCAATTCATGAATCATATGCACTTAGCAATATTACTGGAAATGCTATAGGGATGTCAAAACAATCCATTTCATTTTTGTTGAAGGGTCTCTGTTGAACTTACATTTGACATGAAACGTTGCTTGATAGCCAGTTTTCATACTTACTGTCTGATTCGGTGGATTTGACAGAACGAAAGATTTGTTGCACTCACAGACACAAATAGATCTATACTCCAGACTTAACTTCACCTAAAAGTTCTTTGATGTTGCAGTTCTATATATTGAAAATCATTCTGAAATGTATGTGGTTGAATATGGATAACAGTTTTTCGATATGAATTAAAAAATTTTAGGTTTTGCTCAGTTTAACCTTCCTAGAAGACTGACCTTGATGTGTTTTTCTCTCACCAAAGCCGTTGGTGGTTGGCACTGCACGGCAGGCCATAAATCACAAATTCCAGCTTCCAGTGATGTCAGTCCTTTGCATCTTGTGTTGTCACTTCACAGTGTGAAGATGTGAACACGTGGTCACTCTTTCACGCCACACACCCCTCAGTAACCCAAAAGATTTCCAATATGTTTAGGCATTTCGATGCATTTGTACATACACATATGCACAGAGCACACTACACTCATTTACATGTCGTTAAAAGGGTGGGGAAAATGAATGTGTTACAGATCAAACTAAAATTTACATAAGTTAGTCCCTCAATGCAGAACAGAGATCTAAAGCATATAGTAACATCACACCACAGGTATTTACTGTATGTGCAGACATACCGCAGAACAGTAAAATGTTTACTGTTTGCTATTTATAGAGCATGGCCGTTGACCTGGAAAACCAGATGTAGATGAAAAGCTCCACTGACTCCTCTTGATTTATAAAACCCCCCAAAACTTCAGATGGATGTAAATTTAAAATATATAAACAGAATGCAATGACTTGCAAATTATTTAAATCCTATATTTCTGTAAAAATAGTACAAAGGCACGACATTAAATGTTAAAAAATTAGATTTTATTTTTAGATATTAATGCAGCATTTTGAATTTGATGTAGCAACACATTTAAATAAAAAGTTATAGGCAACAAAAAACACATGAAACACGGTGAAACATCTCACATTTAACTAGTAACAGGATAGTAACCTCACTAACCTGCAACTTCAGAGTTTTCAGAGTCTTTCATAGCACATATATATATATACCACCTCTTGAAAAAAAAGTGATTGTATTTGAATTAAAAAGAAAGAACACATGTTGAAAGCTGCCAGACATTCATTAAATCATATCAAACTACTAGCAAAATTCTATCTACTTAATTGCTTGTGCTCTCAGTTCTAGAGAAGTACTTTTTTGCTATTAGTTGCCATAAACCCCAGAAAGGCCTTATTACTGGCAAACACCAACTATTAAAGCCAAGAAGTAATAAAATCTGTATCCGAAAGATCTTATGACTTATAGGGATTTGTATTTTTCGTGCTGCTGAAGATTTACAACTGCAATTATTCATGGGTAGCAAGACAGTCCCAGTTTAGTAAAGTTTTATTGCTCTCTTCAAATTCTTGTTGCCAATTTCTGAGTCTGTGTTTCAGCAAATTCCTTTTGATACTGAGAAAAGAACCTAAACAATGCACATGATCTCCTGATGGTTTTAAATGATTGAAGAATTGACCAGAATGTGCAGACAATATATATATATATATATATAT